AAGACGGCGAAGGAAGGACCAAAGCTTACTGTTATTAGTGATTAGTAAACTTACTTGTGATTTYTGTTTCAAGGCTTTCTCGTGGTCTGATTTAATTTTCATTATTCGTTGATGACATTCTTCTTCTAAGTCGAGAAGCTTTCTACTAGATTCTAGAATTAAATATGTTTATTCAACTTTACAATCAATGCAAGACCCTTACTACTGACATTCAGGGACTGCACAATATTCATCAGGAGGGGGTTGAGAATCCAGGGGGGGGGACACAATTTAACTTTATGTGCTTAAACAGGCGGTGGCAACGTCTAAAATTAAATCTCAAATCCCCCCCCTGATAAATATTACGCAGTCCCTTATTTGTACATAAGGCCCCCGTTAGCCCAAACCCTTATGGAACAACAATACTACTGACCTTATTACAAAAACAAACAAAATAATATAATTTTCTTCTTTCACTGACCTTTTTGCTGCTTCTCCAGCTTCTCCTCTAAACTTTCTTTCGCTCTCGTATTTTCCTTCAACAGCCCAGTCATGCCTAAAGCATAACAAAAATGAATTTTCAGTTTTGTTATTTATATTTGTACAAAGTAAAGGATTATGACGGTGAAGGTCTCCACAAGGCACCTCTTTGTAAACCAAATAGATCCCTCCTTAGCTATCCTCTAATAAATTCACCTTGGATTTTCTGTTCAAGCTTGGAGACTTGCTCGGTTCTCTGTGCAAGGAGGGCGAGAATCTCTTCCCGTGAGGCACCAGGTCCAACCTACAAACATAGTAGTGAGGGGGTGTGTAAATATATGTTCACAAATTGTATTTTCTTGATGTGTGGTCGGTGTGGCCGGGAAAACGAGGGGCGGAAGAGTTATCTAATGAATACAGTTAWCAACAAGATTTTCGGTATGGTTCAACCATTCGCTTGATAAGGATTTATCCGATTATATTCCTCGTTAATTAATAAAGTTTATCAATTTATTTCRTGMAATTTCTACGTCACTGCAYGCTATATTCAAGAAACATAAAAGGGCGCGCGTCTCTGTCCTCYGATATAAACACGGTGGGAGTTGAAAAACACGAGAGAGAAGCTTTCTCTTGCATCTCGAGTTCTWTWATAAAATTCTTCTGCGTTTTTCGAGCGAAARCCACATTTTGCCGGTAAGCCGTGTCTCTGTCCTTTGATATAAACACGGTCGTCAGCCAATCAGATATATATCAAAAATTGTACAATTTGCATTTGTCCTACGGTAGGTACGTCAGCTTCAATCTTGCAATAATCAATTATGACCAAAACCGCACATCTAATTTTAAACACATTTGATTGATATAAATTTCCTTGAAATAAAGAGTATTTTGATTATTCATCAAATTATATATCTATTTACAACGTTTTGAATAACAAAGAGTTATGAAATAATGAACATTTCAAACGTTTTTCCAGTTAAAAGTTATAAAASTTATTAAAACAACACCTTTCCAAAAATCATTTACAAATTTAGCAACGTTTCTTCCTTTTTAACAATTATATTTTGAGATGTATGCTATATTTAGTTAATACTCGAGATATGCTTTTGAGATTTACACGAAAATTGCTTTAAATAGATACATTATCCAACGTCAAGWACAGAAACCATAGCAACTCGTCTATAGAAATCTGTTTTCGTGTCATTTTATGAGCAAATATATGATAATTACTTTAGCGTTTTAATCCATGATAACATCGATTTTAAGTTGCAATTTAGTTTAAGTTGATAGAAAAACATTCTAAAACTACAACTGAAACTTTGAAGTTTAAGGTCGGTTTAAGGTTAGAAAATGTATTTAAAAGTTTATAAGACACACGCAAATTARCGGAAAATCATGTAGACCTTGCGAAATACAGTTAAAGATAATAGGATTTAAAAAAAACTGAAACTTCGGACATTGCTCGTTCGCGTACGAGCAAAAGAGCAACATTCGAAAAATCAGTACTGGGTTAAGACTTAAATTAAAATTTCTTCAAAGTTTTATTCATTAGAAACAAGGCGAAAATCGTACTAGTTTARCCATAGTTGTATCTTAAGCTTCAAAACGATCTTTTTCGGCTTTAAAACTCAATTCAACAACAATAATTTTGCAAAATGGCGGTGTGTAATGAACCTCGAAGGCTCATCATTTATTAATATGATGTTGGAAAACCATGAAATTTTTCTTTGGTTCTTTGGTTTAACGAATCAATTGGAACGAGCCATGACCGCAGACACAAGAATCACGCTAAAGTTCACCAACTCGTGAAAAGTTATTCACTGGCCATTTTGAACTTTTTGGCGGAAATTTGTCCAATTGAATTGGTCGGGTCAAATGAACAACAGAAATGATGTAAAGGTATCAAAGTGACACTGCCTTTGAAACAAAGAAACTACGGGTAGAGTTTTATCACTGAAAAAATGATAGAAAAACCAATGAAATAATCCAAGGCCTTTGTGGTAATTAAGAATAAATCTGTGCCGTAAAAACTGTGTGATTTACGTTGTCTTAGTCACTGCCAATCCATGCATGGCATTAAAAATACATGATAATAAAGAAACCTCCGTGTTTGTGCTTCATGTACTTCAACTTACCGAACTGTTGGAAGCATCTGAAGACGTCCACGTTGGAGTAAGAGAAGTCGGTCGACTTGTAAATGACGGCCGCCTCGATCCATATCCAGAAGTTGAAGATAAGTCACTAAAAACGCTCTCTTTTGACTCGTAAAGGCTTGSTGTRCTCAGTCTTCGCTGTTCCCACTTGTTTTCGGGGTAACCATTGATCCCGCGTGTCTTTGGCTTAAATTTTCGTCGTCTTTGAGGACTAGACGGTTGCGAACTGTTGCCATCTGAAGATGTCTCCTCCTCGGCGATTTTCTGCTTRAGTTTAGCAAACATCTACACTTAATTTGTGGGGTTTTCTCAAGGATGTTTGGCGATCTCCATGTTACTTCCTTTTCCCGACGATGACGACTTCCGCTGGACACCGGTAACTGATTAGTATGTGCATTTTAATGAGACATCGCGGGCGCATTGTTTGAAAACACACTGGACACCCGCATATTGCGGACGAATGGATAATGCGGACAGCTAGCTGTAGTTCTTATACTGAATGCAAAGACTTATAGGAAAGTGATGAYGGTCGGATTMTGGAGTTTYCATGTCGCACGRRAARAGTAATRCTTGTTGCTGAACATTTTTTTCAAASTCGTTTTTGTCGTAGGTTTAATATTTTCTTTTATAAGATTTKCTCAACTTTTAAATCATCATTTGTTCTTACTTCTATTGAATCTGTTTGAGTAATTTTCTAAAAGATCCAAGGAAACMCAACGAAACAAGGMAAAYAACCAAAAAACACAGCGGATTTTGGTAAGTATAACTAGGACACGTTTTCTTCCACCGTCTGCATTATAGTAACGCATTCTTTTCATCTCAACATCGCTTAAGATATAAAAGCGTTAAATTACTGAAGTACAGCAAATCACTGTAACCAAAAAAATAGAAACAAAACCCAAAACAAAGAAAACCCAAGAATATAAATTCGTATTTTTTTAAATCCATGAAACGCTTCCGAAATACTAAATTGATAAAACAAACTTAAAGAAAACCAAACTAAAACAAAGAAAGGATAAAAATTGATATAAACATCATKCAAATCAATTTTACACAGCTTGAAAAAACTRCATTACACAAACCAAAACTAAAAGRATACAAAAACACACGAAAAGGAGCAAAACAACCAGAAAACAAAGAAAAACTAAGGAAAATTTAATTAAACTATTAAAAAAAAYCTAAATTTCAAAAGTACACAAAACGTCATATTAATATCGTCCTAAAATTCACACACTCTAGACAAAAAGCTGCAAAGAATCAAAACGAAAAGATCAAAACAAACAGAAAACAAAGAAAACTCAGAAATTTAATTTCRCACTTTCTAATCTTAGAAACCATYAAAAAAGCTAAATAACTTAAGCACACAAACTATCGTATTAATATCCTTCTAATATTTACAGAAAACACCATCTAAATAATCCTGAAAGGCTCTAAAAATATTATAATCACTTCAGTTTATGCGCGCACCGTTGGGTCTCTCGATAAACAACAATGAATTAATGAATTCTATGGGAATTTTTCCGGATTCAAAGCAATATAACAAGATTTACACGTAGTACACCTCCGAAATCTTCTTAATTCGGATAGAAATAAAAAGTTTAACGCCTCTTTGACGTTGTTTATGTAGTTTCGGCAAACTATTAAAAGTACTCTGGATTTATTAATAGATYGATTGTACACATTTGAGCGCGTTTATTTAGCCTGCGGATAATAGACGTACAAAGATAATGTATCATTAAAACGGCTGTGATGTCATGACTATAGAGCGGAGTTTTTGTCTTCGGAGTTGAAGTTAATCTCGAATTCTTTGGTCGAGCAAGAAAAGGGCATAACTTGAATAATTTCTTTATTGACCCTTTGTATGACAMAGCTCTACGGGGGAAGCAAACATAAAAGCATCGATTGAGTGGATTGTTATGCAAAGATCCCGTGGAGCCTCTGCACTGAGGACATACTTGCGACATACCAAAGAAGCGGCTTTGATTTTGTGGGCAAACTTCCATCTTTTCGGGCGCTAAAATGAACGAAAAGTCCCCAAGAAGGGCTCCTCTGGATCTCACAGCTGAGCAGTTAGATTACAAAGAAAGTAAAGCACGAAGCGAGAACAAAAGAGCAAGAAATCGACTCCACATTAATAAGGAGACCCTCACCGGACATGAAAACACGAATGTCAGTTCCCTTGACTACGAGATGAGGCGGTTAAAGCACGAACTACGAGGAATAAAACAGACTTCTGGTTATTTCGTTCTTAATCACGATACTTCGGATGATAATATGAGAATCAGACATCGAAATAAAAGACGTGCCAAGGTTAAAATTTTAAAGAAGAGACAATCTGTCTCCAAGACTACCGACACGATCTCCGAGCTCAGAAAACCGAGCGAAGGAAATCAAAGTACTGCCAAGACAATGTCCCTGCCTGTGCTACCGACTATTTCTCCTGCGAGTTCAGACTCTAGTGTAAAAAACTCTTCAAAATCACAAGAATATGGTAAAACGCARGACATTAGCACGCAGGATAAAAATTCACGTGTTCCGGTGACCCTGGATTTCAAATCCAAGAGTAACAACACTAAGATAGAATATTCTAATGATGKTTTAAACGCTACAACGAACAATGACATAAGTACATCAAATGAGAGTGATTTCAAAGACTTGAACAAGAATGATAACCTATTAGGAGTGAATGTTGAAGCTGCGAGGAATCGAGTACAGAATAGACTAGCCGTGAGCAGCGATAGCACTTTTCAAGTTGACGACAACGGTGACTTAACTCCGTATATGCACGTACCGCCCGACGGTCTTCCTCGGACGGCATACCTCTTACCTCCCCTGGAGGACCTTCTTTGYGAGGCAAAGAAGGCTAGATACATTCGAAAATTAAGAAAACGAAATACAATCTTAGAGAAGGATGATCCAGAGAGGGAACTCAATATTGATGAAATATTCAGCAAAAGTAGATAGCAAATGTATTTATTTATTTAGTTTTTCGCGCTTTTTAAAGTACTTTAMAAATCAAATTGGTTTTATAGCTCAAACGACAAGTAAATTACCGCAGAGTTCATTTAGAATCAAGTTCAGTTTGTAACATCKCTGTATTTTTGTACAGTGTTTACATAGGGAAACTGCTTGAGCAAACAAGAAAACGGAAAAGATGATTGCTTTTACTAAACCAGYAACAAAAAAAGAGGAATTTGAAGTCTTTCTTTTACTTAAGTGTTTTGAAAATTAACTGAATTTGTTACGAAAGACGTGTGAACAACGTCGAAAAAGGATTGTGGCTTTTCTAATGCAAAGTTCGCCAATCAAACGAGGTGACAAAAGAGTGTCAATGATCCTGAAATCCCTACATACAAGTCAATTTTCATTCACAGAGAAACTATATAATTCGTCGCCAGATTATAAAAAGCCGTGGTTAATATGTCATATCATGTACTTATACCGSGCCAATGCTAATCGAATTTCTCATTAACCACGTCTAAGACTAAAATACCGAGACACATTGTCACAAAGACTATGGTAAGGTTGCGTTAAGGGTCAGCTAATGTCAACATTTCCGGCGCTTGATAGCCCAACGCATGGGTCGCCATGAGAACCAAGTGACACAAAATTTCAAATCGTCTCCAGACTACAAATACCTAGAAYATACTAAAACACACGGRCGAGCAAACATTTCATAATCTCGCTAGTATATCTGTCAGCAATTCTGAGTTTCTATTGAGTTGTCGGCTTTGGGAGATCAAATAAAAAAAATAAATACATTTTGACATCAAGTAAAAAAGAGTCGCATCTTTTTACACATTGATATCAGATGAGATCAATGTTGAGGATTAATCTCAGTTCGTCAAAAAYTGAACTTAACAGCAAAAGAGTGGAATAAACTGTGCTGTGTTTTAAAGGTATTTTATATAATATACCACCCAAGTTGCTCGTTCAATATTTAGCAAAGTATCAATTGAGAATAATGGATGGTATTTAGGTTAAGCTAATATTGATACCATACTTAAAAGTTAAAGCGTACATGCAAAAGCAAAATTCCTTAAAAAAAACACACATTTGATTTGAAGCTGCATGAAGTAGTTTACAGTTCAAATGTCGATCTCTGATCGTCGAAATTAGACATTTTACAAAGCGTTTTCGTGTGCTCTGGGAAGACAAGTAAACGCTCAAGCAAATCCCGGGATAAAAASTCATTTATGCAAGTGAGAAAATACAAACAACAAAGCACGAACATTTTGACAAATACAGAGCCTCACAGAGCAAAACTAAGGCAGCATTTACCGTACGTCCGGACCGAATCCGCATCATTTTTTTCACGCGTTTACGCCTATTGTTTACAAGAAACAAACCAAATAACGCTGCGTTTACGAAAACGATGATCGTTGTCGAGCTATTTAAAAGACACGTAGCGCGTTACATTGATTTGTGAGGCTAGCATCCAACGTGGCTAAAATGAGAAATAAAGCTTCACAAATCTTGTGAGCACTGCTCCCGTACAATGTTTCCAAGGATGCTAGACTGAAAACCAATAAAATTCCATGTCAGTAGCGGGAAAAAATGTAGCAATCAATTCGGAATGTGCAATGACGTCATTTAGTGCAGCAAAGCATGATGGGAGTTGTAGTCCTCGTTCTTTTAGGTGTCTGCTAATAAGCGATCCATCCAGTAAGCAGTTTTAACATTTTCTTTGCAAACATTTTCGTTTCTACAAGAACATGACGTCTTTCGGGAGGGTATAAAAAGTGCAGCCCTACATGCCACCCAGGCGAAATAGGACTGATGATGATGATGATAAAAAGTGATACAACTACACATATTTTGCTGTACAAAACGGCGTCAATGTGCATTGTCTATTGGTATGTAGTTTAGACCAGCTTTTAAGCATGATAAACTACGATRTATTACGCATATTGCCCACTACAATGTAGTAGAGGCGTGTATCATCTCGAGTGGATCAAATCTAAATGATCGAGGTGTATGCAATGCATAACTTTCACGTAAAAGATGTCATTGGTGCGGGATCCCTGTGCATTTTAGTTTCGGGCCTCCTTTATCAAATCCATGCCATATATGGATACGAATAAAATGGCAGATTGTTCAAAAGTGTTTTCGCTATAACATCTGCAAGTTTAAGACGATTTCAAGCTTTAAAAGTCGAGAAAAATCGCCAAAAGCCAGTCCCCACGTACTTCCGAATAAGATAAGATTACCAAATATGGCTTCCAAACGAAGGACAACTTTTCTGAGGCAATTTTTTGCTTTGACAAACAGTTTTATCCTGCGCGCCAACATGTTTGCTTAGAAACATGGTATCGAGATATTCGTGTTCTACTCTAATCAATAAAATTCACCGTGTTTGAAATGGTTGATAGGGAAATAGCTTGTCACTACTGTCCTGTCATTGAATGTCCTACCAGTGAGTTCATGACGAGCAGACTCGCAGTCTTTTGAGTTAGAAAACTCTACAAATACCTGATGAAAGAAACGAAATGTGGTTTAACAATTATTCTCGTTTCGTATGTCCAACTTAATAGCGTGTTTGTGTCAGTCAGAACGACAGCGCGATGAGCCGAGCTCTAGTAAAATTCTTCGGTATTGGTTTGCTTGACGATAAAGGTCGATTTAGACGGCACAACTTTTGCCCACAACCATCGCATGCGACCAGCGTAAGTCATCCTTATAGCTCCACGACAGTTGTAGACAGTTGTAAGGATGACGCTTACGCAGGTCGCATGTGATGATTGTAGGCATTAGTTGTGTCGTCTTATTCGGCCTTAACAAAGTACACATCATAATATACATCATTATCAAGAATTATCATCACTATCACTATCATTATCACAATCATAGACGCCTGTACCTTTCCTATTAGTTCAGAATCACAAGCATTTGCGTCGTCCAGAAACGGGACGCGGATTGATTTCACCGCACCAAATCTTTCACATTCTTGTCDAATATCTTCGAGAAACTCTACAAATTAAAAGCAAAAGAGAATGCTTTCATGCGTTGAAGTTCTTTACTTATTGTTAACATGAAACGTGAACAGCAATAGCACGACCAACGTAACAATACAGATCGGTCTTGGAATTTGTATATTATGCACCAATGATTGCACGTCGTTATCTGTCCTCATATGATMCAAACGTTTAYTACGAACAGTAGCCTACCTTCATATTCTTCTGAATCYTTCAGTTCGTCGTGTTTCTCAAACATGTTGGTCAACTGGAGAACCTTCGTTGGTAGAACTACCAGGTCAGTAAGGCTGGGATCTGTAAATTAGAAGAATTTAACTATCGCTAGAGCATTGACTTTAAAAAGCTAAAGAAACGTGCTTACATCGTATAGAATTAGTAGCGTTCAAGAAAGGATGAGAAC